ATAACATCTGTACTATTTCCCAGATCCAATGTGTTCCTAAAGGATAGAGTAAGACATAGACAGCAATTTAGAATGTTATATTTCAAAATCATTTTTATTCGCAATTATTGGACCTCCGTATGAAACTACAATCCCGTTTTTAGGAAAGTAATGCAATCCGTTATTTCATGTTAATAATTCTGATGAATGATCTTTCGAACATTTTCTTTAAATTCTGCCTTTGAAGTTAAGGGAGGGTGTTTTATTTCCGAACACGACTCCCTTTTGTCCGCAACCAAGTGACCTAAAATGCAATTCCCTAAGCCTAACAACGCAAATCCCCATACCTCAGATTGTGAACATGTTGGGTTGAGCACCGGTAAATTGACGTATAACTGAAAAATTAATGTATGCGTCAATCTGCTAAGTAACTACATATTTAAGCATCTCCACATCTACATACTTAAAATAATTAAATATTTATAGTTCAATACAATGATTATGATGTGGTTATATTTGTATCATTGTGTTATTCAAATGTTCGTATCTAGCGAATTCGTTCCATTTATTTAAATTTCAAATATTTGTTTCAATAGCATGCTAATAGTTTCTTCTAATGTAATAATAATTCGTCAATTTCCTACCTGATTTAGGGTAGTTACAAATCATAATGTCGTCATCTTTGGCCTGCCAGTGATCAACCCTTTTCCGAAAGTCACTTTCTTGACTATCATAACCGAAATTAGGCAAATAATATCCATCAACCTCCAACACCTTAAAATGGTTCCCATCGGAATCTGTTAGATCCGTTAGAGGCATTTTAAGCCAAATATTCTTTTTTTTATTTACCAATAATGCAAACTGATTCTAAATGAAATAAACGTAATCTCTTATCGATCGTTTTAAGACTGAATGATGAAGGCAAATAAATCATTGAACGGACCAATTAAATTATTTCGTTTTATCATGAGCTTGATCTATTGAATTTGTATAAGCCATCAATATTGTTTTAATTGAAGGAAATGATTATGCTGCTTTTAGATATTTTACAAAACTGTTTTCAGAATAGACTCAGCTAGTACTCAGAATTATGTAAAACGATAGCTTATAACAACTAGAATTGTCACTCAACTTTGCACATGGGAGTTTGGATCTAAGTTCCTAAATAATTTCTAAAAGTAATAAATCATGTCAGTACCAAAGCACTTACTACTGAGCTGATGATACCCGCGGTGAATAACAGACCACCAGCAGCGATATCGACCCAGTGTTAGATAATGAAAATACATCGTTAATAAAATTATGCGTCGGAAGCTCTTTTTTTTATTTACCTTAATCGGGAATGCTTAACCAATTAAATTGAGAATGGAAACGGGGAATGTCTCAAAGAGACAACAAACCGACAAAAAAGCAGAAAACATCCCAAGGCCACCAATGGGTCTTCAACACAGCGAATAATAGGATTTATAAGTACTTGAATACGTGAAGCGGTATATGGTTGATTGTATAATTTAAATGCTACATTGTGTCCGTCAATTTCCCATTCATAAATGATGTAATAAAACTAAGGCTAAGATTGCTGCAACTCAAACAGGCAAAACACTTTAATAATATCTTTGAATATTGTTGTATCGGTACTAACACTGATTTTGTTATTAACAAATCAAAAGATAATTGAAAATGTATAGCTTTACGGTAATTAACACTTACGGTCCTATACACTTTTTTCTCTGACTGTTTGTGACGTCTTTATACTAAATGCATTGGGTGTGTTCTGATTGATATTTTAGTTTGGAAAACATAATTTATTTATAACTTGTTAGTGGCTTCGTACTAGCTTTTAGTAACTATCAGTTCTCTTAGATCTGTACTTTGCGTCTTATGTCTTTTTGTTAGTTGTGCTTCGTTCCAATCTACATCCATTTACAACCGATGTTAAAGTCTCTCTGATGTTGTGCTGTTACACCACTGTCCAAGGTTAAGGGCGCTTGCCAACAAATTTAACCTAGCTTCATGTTGAGTGTGGCTGTCTAAAACTAGGAGCCTGTAATTCAGTGGTTGTCGTTTGTTGCTGTCTATCATATTTGTTTATCGTTTATTATTTTGTACATAAAGAAGGTTCGTTTGACTTGATTTACATTTTTTATATGTAGGTGCCCTTTAGAGTTTACTACACAGCTACTTTTAGATGTGTTCTTTTCAGTAATATAATTTCAAAGTACTAAAAAATTACCTAAATTATGTAGTAGTGATGTATTACTTCCAGACTAGTAATAAACATATGCTAAAAGTTTACCAATTCAACACTGTAATTAGATCTTTGAAAGTTGTTTTATTGGTATACATATTGTTTTTGTCATCAGTAAATTAAAACCATACTAAATTTTATTGTCATACACATATTCACATTCACGGTACTACAATCTGTCGATACCTATATTTTGGCATGCACAAGGTCATGTTTTTCTCTGACTGTTAATGACGTCTTCACACTAAATCCATTTAATGATGGATGTGTACTGATTGATATTCTAGTCTTAAATTCATAATTTTTTAATTAGTTTACATTGGCTTTGAACTAGCTGTCAATAGCTGCAAATGCTCTCAGATCTGTACTTTGTGTCTTTTTTGTTTTTCGGAATGTATGTATACCCAGCCACGTCCGGTGTATGCTTTTGTTAGACGTTTTTCTGCTTTGTACCGATCTGATGAGTTAAACCTTTTTCAACTGATTTTGATAGTTTATTCTTATGATATACTGTTACACCACTATCCCAGGTTAGGGGGAGGGTCGGCGCCTTCAAACATGTTTAACCCCGCCACATTCTAATGTGCCTGTCCAAAGTCAGGAGCCTGAAGTTCAGTGGTTGTCGTTGGTTCATTGTCATATTTGTTTTTCGTAAATTGTTTTGTTATAAATTAGGCCGTTCTTTTCGCAATTGAATTGTTTCATATTTTTCATGTCGGGGCATTTTATAGCCGACTATATGGTATGGGTTTTTCTCATTGTTAAAAGCCGTACGGTTGCCTATAATTATTTACATCCACTTCATTTGAACTTTGGTGGATAGTTGTCTCATTGGCAATCATACCACATCTCCTTATTTTTATAGTGTACTATTTTAGAATCATTGCATAAATAATCGTATTAAATTTGTACTACAAACTGAAATACCAGGCTTGTTATCCGTATCATAGTACTAAGAAGGTACAATAAATAAAAAGTACTTCTATTTTACTATATCTTGATATGAAATTTTACTAAAACGTCATTTGGTCACTTGTGGTTAGTTGACTCATTTGCAATCATACTTAATTCCTTATTTTATCAAACAACAGTTTTGACATTCCTGTTTTTGCCCTGTTGGCTGTTATGCTTTCATGTAATTTGTAACTTTTGCTTTCCAATCTTTTGTCTCTAGTGTACTTGATAATGTCATTCCAAAACACGTGTTGTTCTCCTGGTATTAGATATCATACGTTTCTTTTGATTAAAAGGCTGCCAAACATTTTCAGAATACTGAACTGATGTAATCTATCCAAATATTTTAAACTAAAACTATAAATTTCGTTTGCCGGAAGAGCTTTTGTGGATTTATCTACATCATTAACGCCCAAACACAAACATTTGAAAGACAGGGATGCATAAATACATAGAAACGTTAGGAGCTTTATGACCAAAAGAGACATAAAAAGAATAGCCAAATTCAGCTTAGGTCAACTTTGCACGAGGTAGGTGGAATTTTACTTTCTTAGTAATTTCTTAATTTGTAAACAGCGATATTTCGAAAAAGTATGTTATAAATCATGTCAGTACCCAAGCACAGACTACTGAGCTGATGATACCCTCTGGGACTAACATCCATCATCAATGGTATAGACCAAGTACATCGGGCATTATCGAAGAGATATTATATGATATATTAAAGAGCTAGCTTATTATTCTAATAAACTTATATACTTTCCGACATACATACGACGTTTCGAAAATATGTTACCTCCTCTGTATATCAGTCATTTAGTTGCCATTATTGAAAGATGAAATTATAAATAGACATGGAATGAAAAAACTTCTTCCGAACGTATTAACATTTGACTTCGAAGAGTATTGTCTTTGACCTTTTTGTTAGACTATGTTCATTTAAACTAGGACTAATATATTAGTGTAATAGTCCCAGATTTTAAAGATTTATTTTTAACTCAACTTTAGCTATAAATTAAATAAAGAAAGAATGTGTCTGAGAACACGAATGCCCCCGCTCAAGCTTGCTTATGGTATGTGAAAATACTTTTGGGACGGACGGACGGACGGGCGGACGGTCAAGGGTAACACTTAATGTTAACTATGGCCTGATGTTTCATGGACCCATTTGCAGGGTCTGTTTCTGTATGTTACTAAATTAGTTATAACATAACTATGTATTGATCGTATTTTAAACAACACTAACTCATACTCGAGACATTGGGGATAAATTTGCAAATAGTCCAAAGCGTACTGAACTTCAACGTCGGTACTATACATGACTTCCTCCAGAGTCTGAACGGTATTTTATCGTGTCGTAATCGTATGAACAGCATCTGAACTGAACTTAATGTGAACCTTATTTGACCATCCTAAAATTTACTGGACAGTTAGTATGGTTGATTATTACTTAGTCAAAGATACTCATTAGTGTAGTCTTGGTGCATTAAGTGTCGAAGATGAAGTGTCTGTATCGCAAAGAGAAATCAAAATGTACAAAACTAACAAAGACAGAATAGGAGAAATTGTTCTAACAATAATGCATATGTTTATAGCAGGAAAGACAAAAAACCAATAAAACATTAGAAAATACATGGATCAGGTACTCAGAAAATGTACCTTATACGAGATCATACGACACTTGTCGGTTGAAAAGTTGAATATTCAGGTAGTTAAGTTCAAATCTGACAGACTTGTTTAAGATTTGTTTAAGAGTTATATAGTACATACATACATCATTTTTTTTTCTTTTATTTTGAGGCGCAGTATACGTAATTCGGCGGTTTTTCGGATATTTATTAACTTTTGAAAGTATTTAGATCCAGTTGAACTGAATCTAATAACAGAAAACATGATGTATGTAGCATTTATACTTCTAGACATATTCAATTAAAATTACTGTGTTTAACAATGCATTTTACGGAGCTACATATTCCCAGAACATAAAATTAAAAGACCATAATGTATAATATTTTAACAAATACATGTATAAGAAAACTGGTTATAATTGGACATTATGTGTACTGCCAATTATTTCATGTCACAAATATTTTTCATTAGCACCATATATATTCAAACATTGTTTTCCCTCATCCTATAAAAACGTTGAATATTAAATTCTGGATTTTTTAAATATTTTCTAAATTCATTCTATACACTGAATTGCATTTTGACTTCTGACTTTGACATTTTTTCTTTATAAAACTTGTCAAATAAATCGTCTTGTGCGACAGTGAACCAATTCTTCCAGTCACCAACTTGTCCTGTAATAAAAGAACATATAGTATATAGTGAAATGTGAAGAGATGGTACAAGCATACACATATCGGGCCGTTGGTTTTCTCGTTTGAAAGTGGTTTACATTTGTTATGTGGAGGCCTTTTGTGGCTCGATGTGTGTGTGTTTTGCTCGTTGTTTGAGGCCGTGCGGTGACCTGTGGTTGCCGGCTTTTGTGTCGTTTGGTCTCTATTGGAGAGTTGTCTCATTGGCAAACATACCACATTCTTTTTATTTTCTATAAAGAATTACAAACTGTTGAAAAGGTAAAGTATGACCAAAAGTATATCATACAATTGCATGCATCACCTCAATAAATTCCATATGATACATGCATTACACCTCATTTGTTCGTGAGAGTTGGACAGTTTTATGCATGCGTCACCCTACATTCGCCTTCATATGAACAAGGCTGATTTATGCATGTATAACACCTCGTTAAATTATTTGTTTGCACGCATGAGGGTTTGCCATTGAATTCCTATTATTTTAGGATTTAATGTCAAGTAATATTTCGAACAACTGCCGAAAACGAAAAAAATATAAAAAATATTCGCTTTTCCAGAATGTAAATGGATACTTAAGCCAATTTAGAGCTTTATTTACTGTATACACGCATTTATTTGTTTAATATTAAGGGGTTGGTCGATTTATACCTTTACATTTTGTTTATATACGTGTTCTTTTCAGAAGATCGTATGCTGATAGCTAGATGTCTTTTGTTTTTTTGTTTACATGATTGTCGTTGTGTTGAAGTCTCATTGGCGAGAATTGATTGTGTTGATGGCAGATCTTTAATTGTTTCTGTTTAATTTATTCACATCATGTATAAATTCGGGATATTTTGTATAAACATCTATCTATTGTTGAAAACTGTATTTTGACCTCTAGATGCTGTTTGGTTATTTGTGTCGTTTGGTTGCTGTCTCATTGACGTATACTCCACATCTCCTTTTAATCATATCTAAATAAGGGTTGTTTTAATATATTGTATGATTCATCATTGATGGTTACCCAAATAATTAATTTAAATATCAGATAATTTAACAAATGTTACACTCCACTTTTTAGCCAAAAGTTTTAAGTAAGTCGATCAAAAAAGCTTAGATACATGTACTAAATATTTCTCTTTCAAATGCAGTGAAATTACTCAATAATGCTCAGTGGGACTGCTGTTGTTATTTGTTTTGCACTTCAAAGTTCCTGTCTGATGATGTGCTTGTCCAAATACGACAGAGCCGTCAGGTAATTTTACCCGCAGTTGTCTGAGATTTCAAGTCATGCATGTTATATAGACTGTTCGATTTCTTAAAGAAGTCAAAAGTTGGGTGTATTATCATTTACGGGGTCGGGTAACATAAACCAAAATATTTCAATACTTCACTACCTTTGCGATACATTCCTGGCTCTTTATCTTTCCATTCATTTACATCTTCATGTTTATTTTTCTCTTTTTTCATCTTCTCAAATGAACACAAATCATCAATTTCCCGCACCAAATCATCAGTTACTTCAATTTCCAGGAACTTTGCAATTCGTTTTATTTCATTTAAACTATTCTGCAAACAAATAAGAAAAATATATTTTAACAAGAGGTTACAGAGTCTGAATCGCTCATCTTGAAAAAATCTGCCATATTGATATTAACGTAAACATCGAGATAAAAATTTTATTTGGAAAATATTTCAAGCTTCTCCTATCTTTAAACAGCTCCCTGCTGTCTATTTATTATATTTTTCAAGATAATAGACAGAAATACAACAATGGTAAAAATGCTTCATTTAAGGGCAATAATTCCCATAAGAAGTCGAATGAAAGCTTTATCATATAGCATTTTTGTAGATCTTGAATGATCATGTGCGTTTCTATTTATCTACTATAATTTACAAATAAAAGGCAAAAATGCTTTATTTGTTAAAAATCGTCATTTCAAACCAAAAAGCGCTATAAGGTGGCGACTGATAATGTTGGTACAGATAGAGAGCTGGTATATCTTTACATTCTGAACATGTTTGCCCCTTTCTGATTTTCTGCATCCATTTAGTTTTAGATATTGGAAAAGAAGCTGCATTTTCCTTACGTCCTATTTATAGCTATAGTGGCCGTGTAGGTAAATATGCCGGTATAAAATTATCAAACTTTAATCTATATACCCTGTTTGATTTTTTGCATCTATTCTAGTTTTAAAGATATAATTCCCCACATTTCAATTCTGTTCTATTTTAGTCATCGTGGCCATGTTGGTACAACTACGACATTGGTCTTGACCTTAATGATATTTTAATGTCTTACTGGATTATTACAATCTCAACAAAAATACATCAAATATTTCCAAGATTATAAAATTTAATAATCTTACATAGAGTGGACACAATCAAATCAGACAAGATTAACCCTCATGTAAAGTTTGGTCTCACATGCCATTTCATTGGTACAACAAGTTAATTGGTGTATTCAAATGATTCCGACCATGGCATCCGGTAAATTTTCAATGACACATTAATCGTATAACAATTTTCTGTATGATTTGTCCATATATGAGACGGTCTGCAAAAGGTTATATATCGAATTGGAACTACTGCTGGAGGCACTTCAAAGGGGGATTCAATGGTACACAACTGTAAATACCCAGGTTTTTACTTTAATATATGGTAAATATTAAAATTCGGAAATAAGCCTATAAAAAATTCTTATGTTGCTGTTCAAGACAAAGATAACGTCGTGCATCTCAACCCAGTATTATGATCGCCTTAATGGTATAGAATGTCGGGAAGCAGGTGTTCAACTCTCGACAACAAAGAAAGTGTTTGAGCGATAATTTTTAAATAGATTGATTGATCAATGGAAGCTTACAGTATAGCAGAGAATATAACATCCATAATCAGAAAGATAACACTTTAATGAGACAATAATACGTCCTGGCACTCGAGTCGAACATGCTTCCACAACACCACCGAGTTGGGATTTATAAATGGAATAGAAATTGTTGTACATGTTATATATATATATATATATGTGCTATTCGCTGCCGGATCATAACCTCAATTACTTCAATCGCATTAAGTTGTGTGGTTGCCTTCATTCCACCATAAGTCACTAAACCCGAATGAAACACAAACTCCACCTGGAAAGTATCCTTATACACTTGTACCAACAATTAATTGCAGATCAGGCGTTATAAAAAAAAAGTCCGAACATGTACAATTTTCATGAAATTTTCGAGGAGTTGTAATTCCGTGAAAAAGTTGGCATATAGTGATTTCGTCATGGTGAAATAAACAGTTCTCGTACTTTTTTCGTAATGCCTTCAGATATTGATCTGATTTTCTGTACATCAGTGGTTCATGACTTAAAGATTCAGTTTGAGTTTCGTCCCAGTTTATCATAGACACTTTGTTGCAGATATAAAAAAAAAATGCTCCGCAAGGCGCAGCTTGATTCGACCGCTGAGGTCGAGCTCTGAATAGTTGGGGCAAGTATGGACACCATATTCAAGCTTGGTACAGCTCTGAATTCGGATTGTGCTTTTGATACAGCATAGCTTTCTGACACATAATGAATGTGGTCTAAAACTTAAAAATTTGAAATTGGACATTTACCTATTATGGTCCAATACCCAACATCTAATTACATGGTTATTTTAGCATACCAAAGAACCCAAAGAATTCAATTTTGTAGGATATCAAACAAAGATTAATTTTGGACCCTTTGGACATCAATGTAAACCAATTTGATAACGGGGCCCAAAATCCAAAATCTAAATACTCGGTTAGATTCAGCATATCAAAGAACCCAATTTAATCAATTTTCGTTGAAATAAAATAAAGTTTAATTTTGGACCCCGATTTGGACAAAACTGAATACTGGACCCAAAATCAAAAATCTAAATACATGTTTAGATTCAGCATATCAAACAACCCCAATAATTCATTTTTTTGTTAAAATCAAACTAAGTTTAATTTTGGACCCTTGGATGTGGACCAATTAGAAGACCGGCCTCAAAATCAAAAATCTAAATACACGGTTAGATTCAGCATATCAAAGAACATCAAGAAATCATTTTTTTGTTGAAATCAAACAAAGTTTAATTTGGACCCTTTGGATTTCAATGTGATCCAATTTAAAACCGGGGCCCAAAATCCAAAATCTAAATACACGGTTAGATTTGGCATATCAAAGATCCCAAATAATTAAATTTTTGATAAAATGAAACGATTTGAAAGATTAATTTTGGATCCTTTGGACTTCAATGTGGACCAATTTAAAAACGGGGCCAAAAAATCCAAAAATCCTAAATTTAAATACACGGTTAGATTCGGTAAATCAAAGAACCCAAATAATCAATTTTTGTTGAAATCAAACAAAGATTAATTTTGGACCCTTTGTATCTCAATGTGGTCCAATTTAAAATTGGGGCTTAAAATCCAAAAACTAAAGACACGTTTAGGTTCGTCAAGAAATAAGCAATTTATACAAAGTAATAGAAAAGAATAGTATTTGGCCCCTTTTTTGGTCCCTAATTCAAAAACAGTTAGGGCCATAAACCCCAAAATAAATCCTAATCTTCCTTTTTAGTAAGGAACCTTGTGGTACAATTTCATAGAGTTCCATAGACTTATACTCAAGTTATTGTCCGGATACCAGAAAATCCTTGTTTTTTTTTTGCTCCAAATTCCTAAACAGTTAGGCCCATAACCCCCAAATCAATCCCAAACTTCCTTTTGAGGTATGGAACCTTGTTGTACAATTTCATAGAGATCCATACACTTATTCACAAGATATTGTCCTGAAACAAGAAAAATGTTTGTTTTTGGTCCCTATTTCATAAAAAGTTAGGACAATAACCCCCGAAATCAATCCCAACATTCCTTTTGTGGTATGGAACCTTGTGGTACAATCTCATAGAAACCCATACAAAAAAGTTATTGTCTGGAAACCAAATGTCTTCGGACGACGACGACGACGACGACGTCATCGCCATACCATTATACGGCCTCAAATTTTTCACGGATTATGACAATTCGATGCGCGAAATTTTGTTTTGTTATACGAGATAATTTAATTTCCTTGTCTTGTCTATCCTGCTCTCTCATTTTTTGAGAGACTTTTAAAATAATATAATCACAATGAAAACAACATAGTCAAATATAACAGAATATGTAAGAGTAAAATAACAATTTAATGATACCACAGTAAACAAATTCATGCAATAAATAGTTAAATGTAGGAAACATGTAACATGTGTCTCCTTTATAAACTAATAAATGATCGTCTTCAATGCTTCGGATCCTCAATGCTCTTCAACTACGTACTTTATTTGGATTTTTTAAGAATGAGTCTTTTAAAGATGAAACGCTCGTCTGGCGTACACAATTTTAATCATGGTATCTATGATGAGTTTATTCACACATGACAAGCCCCTTTGTAGTCACTTCGATTTTTTTTAATTTTAAAGGCAGATACATAAATGATGTATACAGCAGTTTGACAGAATAGTTTAATTTTAGTGAAAACGTTGATCGAATCTCATCTAATTTTAAATAAAGGATGTCACAGACATAGCTACATCTGCTTCTTATCTTGAACACACCGACAAATTGACAATAATGGTCGGTTAAGTACTAAACATTCCGAATTCCGTTTATTCTAACAAAATTACAGAAATGTTTTAGGATATAGCTCCTAGAAATAACTTGTTTTACGGAAGAAAACACAACTGTTCCCAAAAATTTGAGACGGCATCAATTTTAATGTTTTTTTAAAATATCTAAATGGGAATAGTTGCAAAACGTCAAAAAATGCATTATTCAAAAATAAACCCCATTTTGATGGGGAGGATAAAAATGCCACTAAAAGTCAAGCTATTAAATATACTCGTGTATGTCCCTCGAATTTCTTATATGGTGTAATAAGGCAGGCAGTTGACGAAGAGTACAAAGATAAGAAGACCATATTGGACAACAACTACAAAGGAAGGGATCCCATTCTTGACATTGCGTTATTGTTCGTGCTTATTTTCAATATGTATACTTATTAATATATAGCGATGAAACGCTGCAACTTATTGTCATTTGAAATGCTGAAGAATTCTCTTTTAATTAATAGTCAGCATATGAAAAATAGATCATGTGAGGCATACGTCATACCAACCTAGCAACATAAAAAAAAACAACCACAAAACATCTGTTATAGGTTACCACATACAATCATGTCATTTGGCATCTTATTAAAATACCTATATGGCATCCAAACCTTAAAACGGGGGACTTCGTGAGAGTTCATTGTTATCTTCCCTTTACTAATTCTTGTAAATGATAAGGAAAATGATTTTAAATACAAATTGTAAAGATTATATATAATAGCAATTTCCAGACGATCAACCCAAATTCGGCATTCGTCAAATTTTCCATTTGACGATAAATAGCCAACAATCAAATAAAAAGATATATTTTTTCATATGCATAGGTATATACAAAATATTTAGATCAAGTGACTTATAGCAATCTTAGAATTCAAATAGTCGTTATAAATGATAAAGTTAACAAAATACCACAAAAACGTAAAATATAAATCAGAAAAGAAAAAAAGAAATCATGCCTATGACTTATAGTGATTGAGATACGTTTTCAATTATATTTCCAGTTTATTCATAGGTACAGTTTTGTTTTGTTGGTTTTTTTTTAAAGAGTTAAAGGTGTTTCAACTGGAACTAGTTCTAAGGTAATTGTAATGTCTTTTTCTGACTTTACATACTCGTGTTCCTTCTGAATAGACATAAGATCTGTTTCTGTAGTCTTGGGCCACTTTGGGTAAGGATACTGTTTTACGGAACTGATGACAGATTGAAATTAAGAGATATTTAGTATTATTATGATGTCTAACATATAGCATACCTGTTTCATGGATTCATAATGTAAGGTATGTATCGGGTACTCAGGGTTATCTTCCATGACTCTTTCCCAGTCTAATGTGTACTCAAACCAGGAACCATAATCAACTGAAAATAAAAAACACACTGAATGTCGTCTTTTTTTTATTCCAGTTTTATTTGTATCCAGCTTTAGCTAACTACGGTGTTGTTAACATTGAGAGATTTTGCAAACATATACAATAAGTGAATGAAATAGATTTTACCCACTATATTTCGAGATAGTAAGACAAATGGTCTCAGATACAAAATAGGTCGGGTTACCATCATAGTACCTGATACCACTTTCGGTTTTAATGGTAGTTCATATTGCCCAAACATTTAATTTTAAACTCTCACTGTTTGTATATCTGTAAACCTGTCTCATTGCTTTTAAATTGTATCATCATTATATATGTAAATATGTATAGTTGTCTATTTTTCATTCTTTTTTAACATAATTTGTTTGGTATTTCCTACGTGTTATCTATCACTAATAATTCAAAGAAAATGTTTTTATTACTATTTTGTTATTGTTAATAATATATTGCAAATTTCGATTTTTAACTTAAAACAAGTTCTTGAATTGAAAAATCACTTACATAATTCCAGTGGAGGCATTAGTTAGTATGGAGTCGGGAAAGGGAGAAAGAAACGTTTTGTAGTATTAAAATTTATCTTATAAAAAAAACTTCTTTGGCAAATTTTGCATCTAGTACGTTTAAGCTTTTTGCAGAGTTTTAAAGACCAATAAATAGTATCATAAGTTTCTTCACCTGGATTTCAGTTTTCAACTCCTTTTCCCAATGCCTATTAGTAATTACATAAGAATCGAGAACTGTAAAAAGACTTACCATCCCCCTTTAGATACCTTGTTAAATAATGTTCCCATGATCCAGAATATTCATATTCTAAAACCTTTAAATGATGGTTGTAAAATGACACGGCCACATCTTTCGGATTTCTCAGCATGTACAAAATTTTACATTTCCTATTCTTAAAGTCTTTTGGTAAATGACGGAAATATATATGTGTATTCAGAATTCTAGGTGAAGGAAGACTGTCAAAATTAGCTTGCTCAATGCCTTCTATCATGTTCCATTCTTTAATGGCATCTATCCGTTCCGCTTTATGTTGCTTTAACATTGAGACTACCTCCCATAACCAATGTGTGCCTACAATCAGATCATTTAACTTACATATAAAAAATGTATATAGTGACAGTAATAATCTCCCCAGATATCATAAAGAAGTGACGTAGAAGTTGGTATACATATAGTATTGAATGTACACGGTTTGTAATTAGATTCATGACAAACCATACAGCTACATGCACATGTGCGACCTTTTACGTCCATTCCAAACAACTATGCTCTGGTATGGGACGAAATAGAACAATCTGTCGTCCATGCCTGGTAACTGGTATCGTATTTGATCTAGTAATGGGCCCCAACATCAGGAAACAGTTTGTCTCTGGGGGATATTAACTAGAATAAGGTCGAGTAATGGAGAAATGTATTCGGTAATACCAGTTGGGTCTGAAATAAGATGATGTAAACTAAACTGTCGTTAGTGGTATTTCTAGTCCTGTAACCACAGACACTTGTCTCTGAATAACAAGTGCTGTGCCTATAACATATGACCTCGGGGCAATATTATTTATTTTTGTTTGTTTTCTGATATTTTTTTCTTTATACTAATTTTGTTATTTGTTATTCGCTCGTAACTACCATATATATTTTACAGGATAAGGCAAGATCGATAGTTTGTTACGTAAAAGGTCCCGTTTCCATTCTCAATTTATTATATAGGTATGTTTGGCATACCATTAATATTTAAAAAAAAACAATTTGTAAAAAAAAAATGTATTCATAACAGATCCAAGAGAACTAATTCTGCTCAGGATTGGGCAAAGTTTTGACTAAAAGCTTCGTATGCTATGTAGTTACTGAATCAGCACCTTTTTTTTTGCCTCACCAAAATATCCCAGTGGTGCTATAGAAACCACCACCCGTTATTTGCGTCAGCAGAATTTTTATAACATCATAAACAGCTATCTTCTGAAGGACAAAATTTTGCTTCATGGTTCAATGGAACAGTGACTTAAACACTAAAATGTCTAGGCAGTTCAAGCGCATATACTCAATAGCAAACGATTTGTCGCATGATCACTAATATTTGTTCATCAGGTCCACAATGTAAACACGTACTGAACTATACAGTGTACTAATGTTGTAATTGCTTAATGATCTGATATAGCTGATTTTTGTTGTGCTCACAATATAACGTTTCTCTTGTTTGTTTGTTATATTCAACACATAGCTATTTAACAGTAATTTAAGCCCCGGTCACACCTTACCGGATAGCGCGAACGAACGCCGAACGGATAACTTTTTTTTTCAATCTGTTCATGTTCGTTAGACGTCCGTTCTTATCCGTTAGACGTCCGTCAAAATCCGTTTCATGTCCGTTCAGCGTCCGTTTTATCCGTCGACGTCCGTTCTGTCCGGTGGAAAATTTTGAGCATGTTCAAAACTTTGAACGGACGTCCAACGGATGAAGTGTCCGTTGAACGTCCGGTAGGCGTCCGTTTTTTTACGGTCCGTTCCGTTTCCGTTTTGTATCCGTTACTTGTCCGTTATACATCCGTTGGAGGTCCGGTAGACCAATTCACCAACGGACTTCTACCGGACGTATAACGGATAAAACGGATGATGAACGGATGTGAAACAGACATGAACGGAAGGATAACGGATGAAACGGATACGTACCGAATGTAAAACGGACAAATGCCAATTGAAAATTTCGCGTCAGAAATGCCAATTATTGGTATGTCAGATTTCTTGAGTGTCATGAAAGTTTATTATTCATGATGGATCTTGGAGTAAGAGCACGTCTTCACTATCAAGCAGCTCTTATTCAGGCCAGACTGAACTTAAATCTTGCAAATATAAACCTACTATAAAGTTACTATATAAAGTTACACGGAAACTTTTTAATTATTTTAAGGTCGCGTGTATGTCATTTACATGTATTATTATTGCCGCCTTTAATTTTCCGCTTATCTTGTTCATCCGTTTTATCCGGTACGCTTCCGTTAGGTGTCCGTTTTATCCGGTACTCGTCCTTTGGATGTACGTTCGACATCCGTTCTGTCCGGTACGTTTCCGTTTCTCGTACGTTGCATATCCTGTGTGTTTCCGTAGGGCATTCGTTACGCGTCCGTTTTATTTGGTCAGTACACCAACGGACTCCCAACGGATAAAAATTTTGTCAACGGAAAACTTTTTTTTCATCCGTTCGGCGTCCGTTCGAGCTACCCGGTAAGGTGTGACCACAGCTTTGCATATGAAATGTCCTTATTAAAATTAGGAGACGGATACATAAAAGCAAACAACTTGTTTCCGAATCCTATTAATAATTCAACTGTAATCATCTCTTCCTGCTTAGTTGTATATTGTAATATCAATACTTATACTTTAATTTAGAAACTTATTATGTTTACATTGAATCTAATTCCTCGTGTAACGGAAGTGCCCGCTCTCTGCACTTTAATGAATCCTTTCAACATCAGTGGTACTTTGGTGGTCTGTTACGAGTCAAATTTTCCGCCCCTATCCACTATATCTTCATTTTCCAGTGGCAGACCATCCTACACCATAGTCGATTAACAATGCAGAACCAATCTAAGGTTACCAAGTATAACGTTTTTTTTTTCTCTTTAATTTTTTAACAAAATAATTTTAAAGTACCAAATCTGTACAAACCTGATTTAGGGTATGCACTGACGAGTAAATCATCATCTCTAGCTTTCCATGTAGGCAGTTTGGCGTATTCTTGGGCGTGTGTTGGAAATGGAAACGGTGGAATGTAGAATCCGTCATGTTCCAGTATCTTCAGTTTACTCCCATCCTCTCCCATCAAAAACTTTACAGACATCCTATAGAAACAAACCATTTAATAAAGCATTTCAATTCTTCTTAACGAGATTATCGATATGGAGAAACAGAAGAAAGTTAATTCTCGAACTGTCTATTGACTGTTTAATCCCTTGAGGAATTTCCGTGGAATCGGTGATAAAAACAAGTTGCTATGACATTTAAAATTATTATAATAGCACCTTCTTAACCGCACATGACAGTGAATTCAATAAAGTCTAATTAAGAGTTGAAGAATTGAAAATAATTGTGTGGTTTCTGTAAATAGCATAGCTGTATACATTGTGGCAGCGAAAGATGATTTTGTGTGTGTTTAAACTTGTATGTGTTTGTAGGGGCGTGCAAAGAGACGCGAGACAAGAATGGTTTGTAACCATCCCTTCCCTCCTGTTCAACCGCTTAAATATTTAGGGAGCAAACATTTTATGGGGGGCTAATATGAAAAATTTTGTCCTGCATTTTTTTTAGTTGTAATCTCTGTCCTGCCTTTTTTATTTTTCACTCTATTCGGTCCTACCTTTTTTTTTAATAGTTTATCCTGACTTTTTATACATAAATTGCCATCCTGCCTTTTTTTTTGCCAGGTTGCTCATCCTGCCTTTTTTTTACTCAAAACTCCTGTCCTGCCTTTTTTTCAAATTTTTCAAATTCCCAAATGGTAGCTCCCTTAGTAAAAGCTACTGATTACAGTCAACAGGCGATGTATATACCCTTCAGATACCTCTAGTTATTTATAGAACCGCTATCGTCCACATTTCATCAATTTGAGTTCATATGATATTTAGTAATAATTCTTTAAAAAATACACCGTACTTCATGACTTTTGATCATTTCTATTTAAATGCACATTTTCAAATTATTCTTGTGTGTGTTTAAATCACTTTAAAACCGTCTTTAACCTACCTGCAAAAACTTTCAACAACTGTTATCCTTCTTTTCAATCGATTCTATTGGGGTAGCTAATAGGATTTATTTTTAAATGTCAGAAATGATCGTGTCGATTTATACTGACACACAGTACTGAAATAATTGTTGTAGCGTTGAAAAGTTGAAAGTGTAGGCAGAAAATCAGTAAAATAAACATGATCAGGCAACAATTGATAAATCGTCTAGTAGTTGCATGAGCTCCGGGGTTGTAGAAAGTTTATAACGGTAACTTATTACAACACTTCAGTTTTAAGTTAAATACCTTGGAGGCTGAATGTTCTTGACGAATGAAATATTTTATCAATATCTTAAAAATGCTACACCGTTTTAATATGATTTCAGAATAGTGTATGACAGATCTCTAATTACATAATATTCACAAAAATATATGCAAAATAATAAATACACTGGGAGCTATGTAACATTTTAACATATTTATTTTCGTGCATTTAATATTGAACTATCATATTAACGGGGACCTTGTCATAATACATCGGTAAAATATACGAATTATTTACAAATGATTTAGTATTAGTTTACTCAATACAATTATCACCCCCCCCCCCCCCCCCCCCCCAAAAAAAAAGAAAAGGAAAAAAGGGTATAGTCAATTTTCTCTATATTTGTGTCACTAGCAGGTTCAAAATCGGAAGATTGTTGAAACCTATTAGAATTTGAATTATATCCATAAAACCAAAATGTTATTCAGTGCTGCACATAGCTGTTAAAGACAGACAATTATAAACAATACTTATAATAGAGTTTTTATTTATATATATAAAATTACATCGAAGGATGACTTTTTGTCCTTAATTAATATGTATCTGGAAGACGAAACCTAACTTTTCTACCGATAGCATATTTGTGTTCGTTGAGAATGGACTTCTTATTCATTTAAAAAAAATAATACTAAATATTCGCCGAGATCTATCAGAATGGCAGTTCTTAGCCATCTTTCGGTATTTATAATTTTGCCACATGTTCGTAAATTTATACGTCAAAATGCTGTTGTAACCATTACACACATGAAGGTGTGATACTGTGAATTTTAGTAAAGATTTAAGGACTCTGCGCGAAACAAAGTCCATTCGAAATAGGCCCCACCTCTTAAACAAGTACGCTCAACAAACATACGGAAATCTGTTAGTGTACACATATAATTTGTTTTAGGGTGATGGTTCCTATAAAAGTAAATGCACAGTATTTAGGCGTTATAGTATTGACTTTTAGTACTGTATGGACCGATAGGGTTAATATATTGGAAATTATAGTATTCAGAAATCAATAAAAAAATACTCTTTCTTTTTTGTTTTAAACTTTTGAATCTGTATGTAATGGTGTATAAGGTTTAATAATTTTGATTTTGACAAGAGTTCAAAAGTTCATTCAAATATTGCCAATGTGGCTTCAACATGGACAAATCCCCTTCGACCTTGGAGGCAGGGTGTTGGTTGGTGACCTTGCGACCAAAGGACGCATTTTAAAGGACATGTGACCTTTAAAAATGTTCATAACCGTTTTACTTATATGTTTTATATGCTTAAAAGTGACGTAGTGAACTGAAGCAACTTTTAAACGTGACTTTGTGACCTACTGGAGCCCCTACATGTTTGCCATTTGATTTCGAGTATTTATGTCTTACATAGAGTATACGTTTTAGATCTTAATGAACATAATATATGCATTTATAACTAGTAAATTATTTAGTCAATACAATATGCATTATTTAAAAACACTCTGTCACATTCACATGTGAAACAAGAGGTAAACATATACAGAATACAGTCACATACGATCATAGAAAGAAATAAAACAACTCTAACATGGAATATATTAATAAATACTATACTTTATAATACTTTAATTAACTTTGAAACGAATAAAGATACCTTTTTTAGTACCTTGATATTACCCAATGATAGTAATCCTTTCATTTTTACTGCGCTGGGATATTTTACATAGTACTCTGGGATGTGTTGATTTCTTATATTTTTTACTAAGATGGAATTGCATTCGAATAAGTAATAATATTCATTACCAATAGCATTCGACCGCATATTACATACTCTCTCTTCTTTCGGAATATTGTACCACTTACCTAGCTCTACTGGAATTTTCACATTACAGCATCTTAATTTAGAAAATATATTCACGTTCGATGGGTGATAATTGTACAAGATACTTTTCTAAACCAAACATTGTTTTAAACAGACCGTAAAATTCACCTCTGGAAGAATTGTAAATATGACTATACCATTTTTTAATGTATTCGTCCTTAAGATTTTGTTTCAGAACGTTTTTCAATTGATTTACTTCTAATGGCATTTGCTGAGTCTAAACATAGCTAAGTCAGGTATTTCGTTACCATAAATTACTTAAAACCTTTACTAAATTATATCATAGATACAAAATATTGGTTTGGAAGTTTGACTGTATCTTTAGAAACCTTACCACAAACGAGATATCACATCCTAGTTTTCATGGTGATGTGGTTTAACACTGTAGCAAGATCTTTGAATATTGCTTTTGTATGTGTACTATTACATTGATTGTTCTTAATAAATAAAAACATAACTTAACATGGATTGCTATACAGTTATGAACACTAGTGGTCCTAAATCCTGTGGATACATATATTTTGGCATTGCACGAGGTCATGTTTTCTCAGACTGTTTATGAGGTCTTTATTACACTAAACTCGTTTGATATGTACTGGTAGATATTTAAGTCTGGTAAAACATGATAATTTATTATTTGAAATTGACTTTCAGCAACTTTTAGTAATCTTGGATCGGTATTGTGTTTTTTTTTTTTTTGTCTTTTTGTTGAATGTGTTAAATGTTATGTGTGCTTCTTGTCGAACTGATGAGCCATGTCCTTTCAAACTGATTTTTACAGGGTTTTATTTATGTTGAATATACATTAACACCACTGCCAATTACAGGTAAGGGTTGAGCGTGCAGAAACATGTTTAACCCTGTCACGTGCTTTATGTGTCTCGCGTTCCTACGTTAGGAGCCTGTTTTCCGGATGTTGTGATTGGTTGCTATCAACCATAATTGTGTTCTTTTCTTTTTGCATAAATCGGCTGTTAGTTTTCACTTATTAATTGTTACACATTTTGTCATGTTTGGGCCTTTTATAGCTTACTATACGGTATGGGTTTTGCTCATTGTTGAAGACCGTAAGATTACCTATTGTAGATACTTACATCCAAGTCATTTGGTCTCTGGTGGTAGTCTCAATGGTAACCATACCACATCTTCTATTTTTTATAAATATTGGTGAATCATCTTTTTACTCAATAAAACACGAAACAAGAACTGTCTGAAAAAAAGTTATGGGTAATTTTCCCAGTATTAGTTTCAATCAAATAGTCAAATTAGAAAGTTGTTAAAATATACAGGAATTTGATTATTAATTTGACTAAATATTATATTTAATATATCCGAAACATAAAAATGTTTTCAGTGATAATTATTGTTGTTGGAGACAATTTTGATACACTTACCCAAAGTAAGCATGTTTTTCGTAATATAATTGTATAGAAGGACATCGTTGACCATCATGAATTAATTTGTATCGAAATGACAATAATTTCTCTTTACTTCCGATAGAACTCTGGTTTGACTTATTAATATCCTTATCATTTATTAAGATATTTGTGCCATCAAAATGTGCAATTTTGAGCCATCTTGAGGCATTCATTATATTGTTTAAAATATTATTAAATACGCCATAATACTGTATGAATCTTCAAGTCCACACATCAAGCTATGACATATATATACTATGAATTTTAGTAAAGTTTGAATTACTTTGAAAAAAAGGCCATATAGTGTGAAATGAATTTAGGGGAAATAGGCCCTACCTCTCGGAACATAAGATTGAGCAAATCGGTAGTTTATTCCTTTATTTTTCTTACATGTAATATGTGGAACAATATGTATGTATTTATCAATAACAATGGGACTACTGTAACAAACAGACTCTTATTAGCGATAAGACATACTAAATTATGTATGTCAATCAGAATTCAAATTATTACGTAATTTTTCACGAAAAGTGACCATTATCTTGTCTGGTAGACAAGGTGTATGATTTATCTACAGGTTTACACAATGCTATATAAACCTTTATTTTCAGAGTAAATGCAATCTGTTTGCCAGACTGAAATAGAAAGTAAGTTGAATAGATATTATTGCATGTACAAATTTAGTCACTAATAACTGATAGAAATATCACGGGATATAAAACTATTACATAGTTAAAGTAAATGCCCTAACTGGTAAAATTCAACAATTGTGGAAGTTTCATTGTTAAAGTATGATTGAATGACCGAGGAAATATGTTTGTGGTAACATTGTTTATACATGGGAATGAGAATATAAGTCAGAATCTAGATGAAACTTAATTTATTTTTGTAAGCAACTTTATGACAAGCTGGAATACGGTCCATTTGAACCGACTAGAACACGGTCAAAAGCGTTACACTTTCCTCTAGCCTATTTAACTCTTCTCAGTTTGAACTATAAAAAAGTTGAGACATTTTATAGCTGGGTCCTTGATATACTAGCAGTGGTATATTATTTCAGTTGTCTTGGAGCATCATTAAAAGTTTTCGAAAACAAATGGGGGAATAGTTACCTTTAGGTACTTTTTATAGACAATATTTTGTTTGTATTTAGCATCTCATGCAGTAATTAGTACCAAACCGAATATTTTTCGTTTATAGTAATACTAGAATGAGTTTGTAAATAAACGCAAATTATTTTCGGGCGATTCAGTGAAAATCATTCTCCGCAGTATAAGAAACAGTTTATCGATCATTTTCAAGACACCTTCTATATCGAAACAAATAATAATGCTCAGAACCATAGCACAGCCAGGGACATTTTAGTACATGAAGTGTCACCTTAAATTGTTTTCGCTTATTCTGTGGTTAATTGATTGTGGTAGCTTATTTCTATTGGTTTTTTTTTTTCAGATCTAAGATGACTATGATTAAAGCACTTATTATTTTGTTGTGTGTCGCTGTTGCCTTTGGATTCCAGTATGGCTACTACGGTGACAACGATCGCTTTGATATAGATGATGACTATTATGGTCTACGTCTACGTCTCGGCGGGAGAGGACATGCTGTAAGACATATCAGACCAAATGTCTACCCTAAATATGCTGTACGCAGTGTTGTAAGCCGACCAACTATACATATCGTTCGTGGTAAGTTGTTTATTCCATTTCTATAAAAACGGAAAACATATTTTGCATACTCTCGATCAAACGGTAGTGAAGTATCCAACAATTTTATGTATATTTCCTAAATTGTTCGCGTTCAATTATACTTATATCAATGATTTCGAAGTAAAAACTTTCATAAATTATATGAATAAAAAATTGAAAAAAGATAAAAAGTTTTCTCTTAAATATTTATCTTTTCGCGTAGTTCAAATTTTTTTTATTGGTATAAAGGTTAAATAAAGAGAACCACAGATTATTAAAATATCGCCGAGTTTATGTTTTAACAGCTCAAACTATAAATCACAGAACGATGGAAACAATTAATTCCCCCCAAAAAATATTTTGATTACTTCATTGTTATTTCCGTCATTCAAACGAATATTTTTAATTTAAAATTTAGGTAGCATTTTTTGTTTATTGGAATTTCTAATCAGTTTGTTGGCTGAAATCGTTCTTTCTGTTTAGCATGTTTAGTTTTCTCATATCTAAATTCTAGAGAAATGGTTCTTCTGGTAAGTTATATGCAAAATTAACTAATTGTTCAATAACTCCATAGAACGTTTCTTTCTTTCTTAACAGATGTCGAAATTTACTTCTACTTTGTTCTTATCGTCAATAATGATAATGATAATAAAAACATTTTTTTTTACTTGTCTCTATTTACTTCCTATGAATACCAATGTAGGCTGATTAACTTTCGAATGTCATATTTAAACAGATACAATGAATAATTTATATATCATTACTTTGTAGGATACTGAAGAAAAAATAATGTCATCGTAAGAAAATAGAACATCGAAGGAAAGGCTGGTTTCCATTAAAGTGCTACTGATCGGGAGCAGTAATCTCCGTTTCACTATTTATAATGTTGTTGTTTAATATGATTAAACTAATGAGTAACAGGGTATTCCTTCTTTGTTGTTTCTACTATAAACAAGCACAATTGTAACTATACGAAAAAACGACAAACCATGGTTCAATAGCGAGCTTAGGAGAGAAATACGCACTAGAGATCGATTACGAAAAAAGGCTTTTATATCTAAAAAAACAATCGGATATTTTGAAGTACAAGCGACAGAGAAATAGGGTCAATAATATGAAAAAAATTGCTAAAGAACATTTTGAAAGTAATTTAGACCACATTATTCTAAATAATGTATCGAATACAAAAACTTATTGGAAAATAATGAAAATGTTAATCAAATCTAACAATGGATCAATAACATCCCTCCACTCCAAAATATTATAAATACCGAAAAAATAGACGAAATTGCATATAAAGATGAAGAAAAATGTGAGCTTTTGAACAAGTATTTTAATTTAATCTCCAAATTAGGTGAAGAAAATATCAACGTACCACAATTTGAAACTAAATCTAACAATAAAATTTGTGACATACATGTCACTATTCAAGAAATTATAGATATGATTAATATTCTTGATCCAAATAAAGCCTCGGGACCAGATGTGATTAGCCACAGGATGCTCAAGATCATCCTCTACTTTTTGCAATGTTTCAGCTGGTGTACCCCAAGGGTCCGTTCTTGGTCCTTTATTGTTTATTATATATATTAACGATATTGCTGAACAGTTAACTTCTTTATGCAGACTATTTGCAGATGACACTTCATTCAGTTACTTGGGTCATGACGAGGAACTTATACAATTAGTTGTTAGTCGTGACCTGAGACAGCTGGATGAATGGTCAAGAAAGTGGCTTATGTCTTTCAATCCTGAAAAAACAGAAATTATGATGTTTTCAAATAATGAGATACAAGACCTTAATTTTACTATGAACGATAAAAAAATACCAATTGTGCGATCTCATAAGCATCTAGGGGTTACATTTAGAAGTGACGCAAAATGGAACAACCATGTTGAAAATATATTAAATAGTGTTAAAAAACATCTGAATATACTGCGAAAACTCAAATATCAACTTAGCCGATAAAATTTGGAAAAATTATATCTAGTATTTATTAGACCAATTTTTGAATATGCAACTGAAGTATGGGACAATTGCGGAAAAGGTTATTCAGTTAAATTAGAACAGCTACAACTTGAAGTTGCACGAATTGTAACAGGTTTGCCTGTTTACACACTCTGAGACTGTCTTAAAAGAGGTGGGTTGGGAAACTTTAGAGGAACGAAGAAAAAGAAGAAAACTACAATTATTTTATAAAATACAGAATAATAATGCCCCTGAATATTTATGTAGCCTTGTGTCCCCTAGAATTCAAAGTACAACACAATATCCCTTGCGAAATGGACAAGATATCATTCTATCATTTTGCAGGCTGACACTGACTTCCCAATCATTTATCCCATCAACTATTAAACTTTGGAATAATTTGAACATAGCAGTTCGAAATGTAGACTCATTATCAAAATTCAAAGTAGAATTAAAAAACCACGACATTCGAAATGAGAATCAATCTAAACATTATTTATATGGTCCAAGAAAATTGAATATAATATTAACCCAATTTAGATGTTCGGCATCCTTCTTGAATTGTGACTTGTTTAGAGCTAACATTATATCTGATCCAACATGTAAATGTGGTTTGGATATTGAGGACATGCACCATTTTTTCTTTGATTGTCCTTTCTATCTAAATGAAAGGGCTATTCTTTTTAATGGTCTCAGCTAGCTTCCCGAAGGCTGCGAGTTGGACTTAAAACTATTGGTTTTTGGAAAAGAAACTCTTTCCTATGATCAAAATGTGCAAATTGTTAAACAAGTATTCAATTTTATAAAGAGATCAAAACGATTCCTTGAAGTATAGTATCAGCATAGGTAAAACGCACATCATCATCATTATCATCATCATCCTAATCTCTGTCGTTCTTTCCACATTCCCTCTCCTTTTTTCAGTATAGTTTAGTAATATTTATGTTGTTTATATTATATGATGCATGCTCATGTTCAATTTGTATTGTTATATATATTGTATTGTGGAGAAGACTTTATAAGTATGTTTTACTTGTGTCTGATCCTTTTTTGCTTTGAGCAAATAAAATATGTTTAAACTAAAAGCACGATTGTAAATATTTCACAGTATATTATCCATGTGCTGACTAAACAATTCCAATCCAAGTGTATGGCGCAGTTCATATTGTTTTATTCAAATATTTTACCTCCATTGTGTATCGTGCTCTGAAAAGTGATTTATAATTAAGCTTTCTAATTCAGTTCATTAGTATGAACAAAAGGATATGTGTGGTATACTTCAATGAGACGGCAATCCAACAACACAAACAACACAAACAACAAAAAGACATATTTCAACATAAAGACTTCAACAATAGACATGCGTCTATACAATATGTCAAGTTAAACATCGTCCAGAGTCTAAAAAGTTAGGCATTCTTCTTACTTATTGAATGAACAATATCAATCCAAGTGTTTGACGCAGTTCTTACTGCTATTGCTCCAAGTTTTATTTTTTAAATGTTTTTGCCTCCATCGTGTATCGTGCTCTGAATATCGATTAATAATTTCCTTTCTAATTCAGTTCATTAGTATGAACAAACGGATATGTGTGGTATACTTCAATGAGACGGCAACCCAACAACACAAACAACAAAAAGACATATAATTTCTACATATTTGACTCCAACACTACACATGTGTTTATACAATATGTCATGTTAAACATCGTCCAGAGTCTAAAAAGTTATGCATTCTTCTAATCAGTGATTGAACAATATCAATCCAAGTGTTTGATGCAGTTCTTATTGCTTAAAGTTTTTTTTAACCGTTTTTGCCTCATTCGTGTATCGTGCTCTGTATATATATACGGTATACTTCAATGAGACGGCAACCCAACAACACAAACAACAAAAAGACATATATGCTCAACATAGACTTCAACAATAAACATGTGTCTATACGATATGTATACATTCAATTTATTTTATCATTTGTCAAGCTCCAAATCGTTCAGTCTTAAAATAATAAGGCTTTCTTCTTTGATTTTTATGGGGGGGGGGGGGGGGGGGGGAAGGGGTAGGATGAAAAATTTTGTCCTGCATTTTTTTTTTAGTTGTAATCTCTGTCCTGCCTTTTTTTTAGTTGTAATCTCTGTCCTGCCTTTTTATTTTTCACTCTATTCGGTCCTGCCTTTTTTTTTATTAGTTTATCCTGACTTTAATTTACATAAATTGTCATCCCGCTTTTTTTTTTTTTACTCAAAACTCCTGTCCTACCTTTTTTCAAATTTCATCCTAGCCCCCATCCCATAAAATCAAATGGTAGCTCCCTAAGATGTCAAACTGTACATAAAAAATCTTAACAAAACAAGTATTACAGATGTAGTACTACAAAAAACTCTTCAAAATTGATGATATACATGTAATTGATTAATACAAATTACTTAAGGGGACAATAAACCATATCACACAAAATTACTTTATTTATACCTTGGCCATTATTTGTCACCTTTGACTTTTATTGTCAACAATAAATCATTGAATATTATTGATTATTGACAAGGGTGTCTTCCTGGAATGCGGCCTCCATTTAATGAAATATATATTTCTCAAGTGCCAGCAAACTTGAATTGAATTAAAAAACCTGAATTATAGGGGAAAGATTATAAGGTTAAACTATTTTGTACTTTAAATATAAAAAAGAGGATGTGGTATGATTGCCAATGAGACAACTCTTCACAAGTAACCTAATGTCACAGAAATTAACTATAGGTCAACAATGAGCAACGCCCGTACCGCATAGTCGGCTATAAAAGGCCCCGAAAAGACAAATGTAAAACAATTCACACGAGAAAACTAACGGCCTAATTTATGTAAAAAAAAATGAACGAAAAACAATTATGTAACACATCAACAAACGACAACCTCTGAATTACAGGCTCCTGACTTGGGACAGTCACATACATACAGAATGTGGCGGGGTTAAACTAGTTTGAAGGCGCCAACCCTCCCCCTAACCTTGGACATTGGTGTAACGGTACAACATAAGAACGAACTATAAAAATCAGTTGAAAAAGGCTTAACTCATCAGATGGATACAAATAGAAATACATTTAAAGGCTTTTTAAATGAGCTTTTTTTTGCAATGAAAACGGATGTTTATTTCCAATAATACACCTGAGAGTAATCTCATTGTACACAGACAAAATAATCAAGTCGATGATACAGATTTGTGATTAAAAATAACATAAATGAATAAATATATTTATTAATTTATAAGTAAATCTATGAGGCATATATAGATAAATATATTGAAATACACTTCGTAGATGTTAAAATCAATATAAACAAACCAAACATATTAAAGTGAACATCACTATATTATTTAACAAAAACTATCAAACTTTATGCCTTTCCTAAATCAGGAACCTCGTCAGTAGTTGACGTTTGTCATATCATATGTTTTTTCGTTATTTGCAGAATGGACTTTGGTGGCATTTCTTTGATTGTTTCTGTTTAATTTATTCAATACTTTTATTGAATTGGGAAGAATTAGAGCTTGACACATTGAATAGACATCTTGCTTTTGTTGAAGACTGAAGGTTGCCCTCCACAATCTGATGTCTTTCGTTTACTTTTGTAGTTGGGTTGCTGTCCCATTGACGTGTATCCCACATCTCAATTTATTCATAACAAAAACACAAGTACAAACAAACATATTAAAAACAACAATATACCTTCCAAAGAATACTCGCACACATAATACTTAACCTGCTGCTATGAAATTATGACCACCTACTCTTACATCAAAGATTTTTAAACGATCAAATACCGGACAAACGGATAAACGGATTAATAACAATTATGGCATAAGCAGCAACCAACGGCAGTAATCGGATAACATATTTCTGACTTTGGACTGGCACATAAAGAATGTGGAGTGATTAAAGATATTTGTAAGCGTTCTACACTCCT